TAATTTTCAATTAGAGTGTAATCTTTGATCTTTTAGATGTATCGCACTACCAAGCAGAAAATAGAAGATTTAAAAAGGAGAATCAGGAGAAAAAGAAAGAGAGTGGGGAGGGTCTAAATAAGTGAGAGAGCGGGGAAAGAACATAAGGTGTAGAAAGAGAAAGGAAGTGACAAGTGACTGATAAAGTATGTGAGTTGCAAGTGCAGCTTCTTACCAGTGTCTCTTTACTTTGACTTGATAAACACCTAACATCTTAAAATAAAAAGGTTTAACCTTACAAAAACGAGCCTTGAAGAAGGAGTCAAAGATGGTTAGCCCTGAGACACCTACCTCTCTGATTCCGAGCTGTCTGCTCATAAAGTGATGACTCAGTACTGACCTCCTGACTTTTTTATGATAACTGGTCATCACCATCAATATCAGAAGTATCAAGTGTGCAAGGCTTGCCTTGAAATGGATACACTTTTAAACCAAACCCAACCAAAACTAAACCCTCATTCATACAATGCATTGTATATGAAAACTGTGTAGCCATATGAGAAGTAATGAATCTTATTCTAGTCTGAACGTCATATCAAAATATGTTGTATAGCGAAACTCATATGTAAACAATCTTTTGAAGGAAAAGAATCAGCGTATCTTTTTTTAACATCACACAAAAACCAAATAATTAGGCAGGGCCTATAGTGAGTGCACGCTGATGATCGGCCAGCTGTAATGTTAATTGATATCTTAAAAACTAGGTTCTTTACAAGATGTTTCTTTGCTCCTTGTGCTGTACAATGATTCTTTATACGCCATTCTGCACACAAGTTTTGTATAAATTCCCCTCTGGTCTGAACAGGGTATAAAGAGATGGGAGTCAGAATGGTGCTACAAAGTGGTGGTAACTGAGCAGTCTGACACTTCAATAAAATGACTTTATACTGACACCATCAGTGAATTACTTAGGGAAGTGGAAATAAGGATTTTATGTCCTCAACCCACGTGAGTGAGGGACTTGCAATCTTTGCATGTTTGGTGAAAAAAGTACATCTTTCAAGAAAGGATCCTGGTCATTGAAATATATATTTATAATTTTATTTTCATTTGTGCCAGATTTTGTTGCAAAGTTCATATCAGAAGTAGATATGCTTGTAAGAAATATTTTTCTTCAAAATGTTCTCTTCTATTCTTTAGGATATTCCTCAAGGCTTATAGTATGCTTAGTTCATTTGTGATGTTTCCAACAAACCGTCACATGTCCTTTTTGATAACTTTGTAGAATAATACTTTCTCATCAGGTGAAGACAACTGCAAAAAGCAGGTTTCATAGCATTTTGGTCTGTCCCAAAACAAACAATTTTTTCTTTGTACCTTTTTATAAGATAAAGAAAATAAGAATTTTAACACTATCATTGGCACATTTCCTTTTGAAACATTACATGCTATTTCTACTTGTGATAAGGTTTAAATACTGTCTATATTAACACCCTATTTAGGTATAGCCAGGCAGATACTCTTAATGTAATTAAACCCTCATGAAAACACTGTAGACCTGACATTTGTTGAACTCTTACAATCTGAACCCAACTTAGCTGATAGAATCCTACGGTACTTATGCTATAGCAAATGTTTCCTCAAGCTCTCCTAGCTAACAGAGTTGAGAGAACTGATACAATCCGTTGAAGCGCGTGGCCGACACTCTCTTATTTTTCACTCAATCTTAGGAATATCTTTCGCCTCGGAGTGTAATCAATGTTAAGGGAGCTTGGATGCCCAACCACCTCATTGATTTAACCCGCAAGGACCCTACTTCAAAGATTTTCAATTAGATGCTTAATCTTCCCTAATAGTCGCTGCTCTATATATACTATCTCCTCCAACATGGTAGGAGCATTCTGTGTGGATAGGAATAAAGTCTATAAATTTCATAATAAAGTGTTTGTTTTTCCTGTGTGGATATGAACAGGGATAGGAATAAAGACCCTTAAGTCGAGGCAAGGTTTTAATCTGGCCTGAATGCATATATTAAGTCCATTGATTTGGTGAGAGCAAAATCTCTTCATTATTATGCATACATTGTCCAAATTCTATAAACTTAAATGAAAAAAACAAAAACAAAAACAATTTCTCATCTTCAATTGACTGTCAAATGAATTACGATCATTATGTGTTTCATGATTACAGGAATTATATGAAACTTACGGATTAACTTTTGGCCTTTAGTAAATCAATAAAAATAAAAGTTTTGAATTATGCCACATTTAAGAATGATAATTAGAATATTTCATGAGAGATTAGAGTTGCATCTGGCAATTTTAAAAGTGAGAGATCTGCAAGCCGATTAGTGCTGGAAAGTTTCTCCATTAATCTCTTGTGTTTTTTCTTTCTTGGAATATAAGTCAGGTTGTACTTTTGAAACTAATCTCACCAACTCTTCAAGTGATGTAAAAAAAAATATGGCCATAGCGGGTATTTTTCTCAGCTCTTCTTTTTATATCCCACAAAAAATATGATCCCGCTTGCATGCAAAGGATCATCATGTGATAGGCTGTGTGACAGTTCCGATGATACTTGATCTAGAAGCCATATCCTGATCAATAGTCTCACGTGATAGATACTCACCATAACCATCAAACTCATATTTATTCCCACATTTTATGATATCTCAGCAAGCTAGCATCAGTGCATTGTACATCCACCTGTTGTTGGATGTCAGTCCATACATCGATAAATCCGCTACCTCAAAAAGGTGTTGGAACATTCTCTGATATTTGATGCACCCAAACACATGATTGTCTGCATTGCAAGGTGCAATGTATTAATAGAAACTTTTGCAGACACTCGAGGGGGACATCTTTAGGTTTTCTTCAATCATTTATTTTACATGCATCTCAAATACACGAAGATGAATAAATTGTAGGGAATTTGGATGTTTGTCTGCAGAGAGACAGAAAAGCCCTTAACTCTATGATATGCATTGCTAATAATAGATAAATGTTTGAATCATAGTCATACTACTGCTCTGTGTACGCTGAATGTATGTAGAACATTTTTACGAATTTTCATATGCAATGTGTTATTTATTGATATCAACATAGAACTCAAATATTGAACATGATACCAAAAAATCTCAAAGTTTACTATGTTCATATATTAAACAAGAATAAATTTGAAATGCAACATTTTAGTCATTTGAGGCTGAAAGCTAGGCTTTTACAAAGAATATTTGGCTTGATATATTTATGATCATCTACCTGATAGCTAGAGCACACTTCTCACATCCGCCATCGGTGATAAAATCACTATGCATCCCTTCTCTGTTTCATCTCTAAAAGCCCTTCTTCACTGTTGAATACAAATACCTGTAGATGGTTATCATACAGACTGATACACTATCCATTGCAAAGCTGTTGACACCGGTACCCAGCCTGTCATTCGATGCAAGCAAACATGTGACTGTCTATTTTAGCAATATGAAAAACAATTTCAGAAATGTCTTCTCAACTCAGCAATCAACACCATCTTCAAACATCTAAGTGATGAGTGTTTGAGCTCGATTAACATGAAGAGGTTAGGAGAAACCATAGCATCACTTTATTAATTTTCAAGATTTACAGATTTAGTCAAATGTGTATTTTAAAAGATTGTAAGTTCAAATGCTATACGTGTATGGCACGCATGCATATATTCACATTCAATCTCTCATTTTTAGTCTAAAAATGCATAGTGCATAATACATAGTCAATCAATTTGAAATTCAATGTAAGGAAGCAGCTAAAAGATTGTCATGATTATGATTATGTTTTCTTCTACAAGAATGGAATTTCATGGTGTATTTAACTGATCAGATTTTTTTTAAGGGAGGGGGGAGGGGTAAGAAAATGTAATATTCTCTCATATAAAGTGGATCTGAATGATAGGTTGACATACTTCATGCAACACAATACCTTTTGTTGCCTCCAGTTATGACAATCAATGATTGAATTTTGGATTAAATTGCCATATTAAGATGATTTGAATGCCTTAATAATGTTTTCATAATGCATCATTATAAGATTTTCAAGCCATCTGTTGAGCTGATGGCATTTGTACAAACCATGCAGAATGTTGCCAATCAAACCCAAACCGATTCCTCTTAAAGGGACATCTTGATAAACACGATGAAACACCATGAATAATTCATGCCTACCTTATTCCAGTTTGCACCAAGCATGTGCTGGGACGAGCACGCTATTGTGCCACCTGCCCGTTTTTGCCCGCAGTCATAGACAAAAACCCAACATACCGATAGTTGCCAAAAATTGATTTTTTGCCCCTGCGTGTCCGCAAGGCTCCATTGCCTTGGGAAGATGCGCGTGAGTCTTGCCCGATTTACGAGCTCTGATGGGACGTGATTGATGTGTTTCAAATCGATAATAATGGTACTTTTTTTTTCATGTTCTCCGGAGCATGGAAAAGACAGTGTCTAAATTTAGTAATTATCATAGGCTTTTCCTTAATTTTCATTTTTTTAAAGTAGAAGGCCAAAAAAAAAGGGAGAAATGTCAAGTGTTTTTCTATGTCAAACTTGTTTTTCTGATAGAAAATCTCCAAAGCAATGCCAATAATACCACCTAGAAAATCAAGATGATTGAAAATAATTGATATGTAGATTAGAGTAGAAGATGAACCTCTTCAAGGATCTTAGAAATGGGAGACAGACAATATCACATTAGAAAATGGTCATCATAAGAGTAATTCAAGTGATCAAGCAAAATCCAAATACATATGTATGGCTTTGCCTACCACTTTTTCAATGTCTCTAAAGTAGGATAAAGTGGGATTATGTATACAGCTAAAAGATGTTGTTCAGAATTTCTGGTAAAGCCACAAGCATATCTTCCAGCTCAAAGATCTAAATCCAACCCCTCTACAGATGCAAGCGATGAAACCCTGCCAGAATTTCACTTTCAAAATAAAACTTAAAAGCAATAAGTAGGTTGTGCATTTGTTTGGATAACATTTTCCTCCCAGAAATGTGGCATTCTCTGAAATCACAGAGGCTCCCAGCCCAGATCCAGGTAGCAATGTTGAATCTAGGTTAAAAGCATTTCTGTCGTGACAATACAAGGAAAGGTCAGATATTCTTAGCAGCAAACGCAAACACCTACTGATTCTTCTTTTTCAGAGTGTCCATCTGCATTTCTGCAGTGTTACATTTCTGAAGTACAGAAAAAATCAGTACATTGTGATTATTATATTATTTTTAAAGTGGAAACTAGATTATTGAGAATTAGCATAGAGGGAGGAAAAAAAAATCAGTTACCACCTCAAGGAGTAAAGGCCTTTTGTAACCCATTGCATGCAGGGACCATATGGCTTCTGTATTATGACTAGGGAAACAAGAGAATTCAGTAATCCATGGGCTAAAAGAAAGTAACAAGATGAATTTTTTTTAATTACTATTTCTACCCAGAACTAATTTTTTTCCTTTCTAAAACATGCAGTATTTATAAATACAGAAAATTTCTTTCAAAAGTTGATGGTCCCTCATTACTACTTTTGCTTTTAAACCCCTTTTTTCTTTGCATATTTACAGGAGAGTGGGGTCCATGTTCTGGCAATGACTGTGGATTTGGAGGGACACAGAGGAGAGTGATTTGGTGTGAGCACATAGACGGCACCACTGCTGATCACTTAGACTGTGTAGCAGAGGAATCACCTCCTGGCACCAGAGTGTGCTTCAAGGTTTGTCTGAATCATAGGAACCTCTTCCAATGGCAAGTCAACGACTGGGGACAGTGCACACAGAACAACAACCTAGAGATCGCAACAACAGGGGATGTGACATCCTGCGGACCGTCGTCCTTTGGACTTCAAGAGCGCACGGTCTCCTGCTTGGAGATCTCGACTTCCTATGTTCAGAGGAATGAGGATGGTTCGGTACCGGACTACATCTGCAAGCAGTTTACCGCCAAGCCTTCTATCTTCCAAGAATGCATCACACCTTGCGCCCAAGACTGCATCGTGACGCAGTTCTCGCCTTGGAGCCCTTGCTCTAAGACATGCGACAACGGCACCCAGTCCCGTGCACGCAGAGTGGTCATACCGCCTTCGAACGGAGGACAGGGATGTCCACCGCTGAGTGAAACCATGGCATGTTCTGCAGATGAGCCTTGCGAAGTAGAGGAACTCTTTTCTTTCAGCCCTGGTGTGTCTGTCTGGGGACCATGTGTGATGTTTTCCGGAGGATTCCCAACAGAAGGATCTGATACAGGTCTTCAGACCAGGAGACTCTGGTGCCAAAGAAGTGATGGAAAAACTGTCAGAACAAGGTATGTATAGGCATCCACAAAATGTTTTTATTGGATTATTTAGGACTGGCATGTACTGATCAATTTGAGATATGGTTTTATTTCAACCCTTCAAGTGGTGTAAGCACTTCAAATCCCCACATTCTGATAAGGTTTACATTCTTTTTTACCAAGATTAGGCAGTGCTTGGGTAATACTAATTGCAAGGGCCTAAGGAAGAGTAGTATTTATGGTGATGTGGCTACCTTAGGTAAATAAGACTATATTATTATATCATTATTATTTTGATTTTCTTCTTGACATTTAAAACTGGTATAGGATATTCAAAGCAACTGTAAATGTCATGAAATCATTGTTATATACAACAAACAAAAACAGTTTAAAGAGGCATTGTGATTGGAAACTTTTCTTGTGTATACTTCTCAAGAAATCATATTTGTTTTATGTTTTCAAACTCACTAGATTAATGTTCACCCAGTATCGTGTTTAACATCCTTTCATCTGTAGGAGATTATTTCTTTCATTTGTCAACATCCCATGTGAAGGGGAGTTTCTTAGCTTAAATTTATGTTGAAGTTTTTATATATTCAGGAACTACCTTTGAATATTGTATGCATGTGGCAATTAGTCTAGATCCCATCAATTAGATAATGATATCTCCCTTTTCAGAAACTTGATACAACAAAATTGCAGACCATGAAATATACATCACAGAATACGTCATTAGGAATTGATGATGATGAGCCCTTCTCTCCATGGATAATTTATTTCATTCCCACTTTTTGGAGGGAAAAAAGAATTTGCCATTTTTTCACAGTAGATGGTATGAGTCATTCTTGCTCTTTAGCCTGATGATTAACAGCAGACATTTGATGAGTTTGGGAGTTTCATGGTGTGTTTTTTATTTTAGGTTTAGAACTTGTGATAGTTAGTGAACACAAATATATACACGAATATGTCATATTCATATTTACTCTTTATATTATTAATTTGTTATTTGCTTTGGCTGTTATGATTCATAATTATAAAAAGCTCTTTTGGAAAATGTTGTAGACCAAATTTTGTTGTCTGGGAAACATCTGATAATGTAGGGTTACATCTAAGGGTTGTGGTCCCGCATCTTCATGTAATAAAAAGGTCTTTGAGTGGTTTAATTGGGTCTAAATCTTTATTTCATGTGGCACCTTGTACAATGGTTTTACATTTATGAATACCGACTTGAGAATTAGTACCTTCTGAAGAAATTTGTCTAGATCCAAAGGTAGCTACTTTCAGCGATGCTCATAGGTGATTAATTCTACATCTAAAGATCTTGATAGAAAGTCTTCTGTAGTGGTTAAAGTTTACTTGCATATGTGTAGTTTTTACTTCCCATAATCAAAGACCATACAGCCTTGTATTTACGCTAAAATTGAGATGCTACTCAACCTATCAAGGTAATTGGAAACATTTCTATCTCCCGAGAATAGGTATTAGCTCTCTGAATTACCACTGATAGGTAGTTTGAACAACCTCTTAAAACAAAATGAAGTGCATGATACTTATTAGGAGGAGTAAGCTACTCGAGTTTAAGTTGATGTAGCATCTTCACTTAAGTGGAAGTGGTTGAACTTTGCAATGGAATTAGAGATTGTAAGAGTGGTTTGGTGTAGATGGTAAATAGAGGCATGTGGAGAAATGTAGCATGAGGTTGAAAGATGTCTTTTTAGTGAATTTGAAAAGTCTATTTTAAAAAGAAACCTTTACTTTCGAAGCATAATTAAGGCACCAAGTGTGAAAGTTTAGCATAGTGTATTGTTCTTTTGCTGTTTACCTAAAATTAAGGAGAGAGAGTTTTGACTGATTCAAGCAGAAAAAAAGTGTGTTGAAATGTTTACAATATGTATCGTATTGATTCTCTGTTAGATGTTGATATAATATTATTTGAGTATTATTTAGATATGAGGTGGTTTGTTTGCAAAACAAACAAACTGAAATAATCTGAAGAAAAAAATGAGAAAAGCATAGTGTACTTCAAATAAAGTCTATGTAACGATCGACACAGATCAAAGAGAACTCATAGGGGTCTTCAGACACACTAAGGTTTTGCTCCAAGTCCAAATATCACCTTGTGCCAACTTTTCTCCACTGAGTGTTGAGCTGGTTTACCACATCTTTACTAAACAGGACTTGGTGGGTTAATATGTTCCATAATTCATTAAAAAAAAAAATCAGTGTCTGTTAATTGTGAACAATACTAACATCTACCTCTCTAATTCCTCTACCATATTCCACAGTATGTGTTATCGAGACGGAATGTTCAAAGAGCCACCCCAGAACCAAGTCTGCATCGTTCCGGTCAACTGCCATGTCTCCGGTTGGTCCGAGTGGTCATCCTGCTCGGACCCCTGCTCATCAAACCTGGTCAGTCACTCGGTCAGAAAGAGGACCGTCCTGAAGGTACCAAAGGGAGATGGTGAGCGCTGTCCTGAACTGGTCCAGAAGAGGACCTGTTCCTATGATGCTAATACTTGTCCAAGGTAAAGGAATTATAACATTGATTGTGTTCCCTGTATAAATTGACCTGTATAATGAATGTTTGATGAGAAATCATGCCTCCATTCATAACATCCACTCAGACAGGGGTTTGTATTCATTTTACAATTATAATGTTGCATGAGATGATAAATAATTCGAAATTGAAGAATTGCTTGAAATAAAGATAAACCTAATTTCTGGTATATCTTCATGAAAAGTCTCCTTTGCTGATCAAATCAGATTGGCAGCTGGTAAAATGGTGAATCCTGCAATACCAACATTTTGTTCTTTTCACCACATTTCCTCATCAAAATTGTAAAATGAGAGTAGAGGTGAGACTGGGGATCCACAGCAGGGCAAAAAAGCTCCCCTTTTCCCTCTTTGCTATTGAAAAAAAATCTCCTTTTTTAATTTGTAAAAACTTATGTTTCTTGTGTTCAGAGAATATCCATGAGTGAGCGAGATACATGTTATTATAAGAAACACTGGAGAAAGGTTGGTTCACCTTCTCTAGTTTGACTAGAATTAAGAATGGATGAAAGCACGCCTGCAAGAGTAGACTAGACATGTTTAGTCGAGCACAATAATTCATGGAGTGACATTGATAATTGGACTAATCTTGGGCAATGGCCATGGAGCCAATTACTTTCAACCAGATTGCTATATCCACAGTCCTACATAAAAGCATGAATCAGCCGCATGCAGCATTACAGTCTAATAATGAAAATCGCTTGCATGTTTTGCAGCCAATGCAAGATATGAAAGTAAAGAGATTACCCAGGAGAACAATGCATTTAATTGCCAACGTTCAATATGAAAATAATACCAGAGGCCAGAGGGTGCCACTGCTTTGCAGGGGGTCTGATATTCAATAAAGGAGCATTCTGGTTCATTGTTCTTTCTGCATGGAGGTATTTGTTTAATGTGAATTAGTGCTGGCTCCTGTTCATCGATGCATATGCCTACTGGTATATCATGTGATAGCATTCTTTGTAGGGGCTCCGGTGAGGCGATTAGTCCAATTTTCTGGCTAATTAGTGCTATGCTCTCCCCATGTTTGTCTTTTGTTGTGTGGAGGTAATATCATAATTGAATGCTGAAGACAAATCCGATGGCCTGTCAGATAGTGCATGTGATCAAAGCTTCTATTCAAAAGCATTTCTTTCAAATGGAGATTTCTTTTGTGTCATGTACCATATAATTTCAAGAGAATATTTAGTTAAAAGTAAATTTTTTAAATATTTTAAAAATCCTATTGTATTGATTTGTATATTAATAAGTAGGGAATTAAGTTCTGATTCCTGGTCATTTGTACTTTGAGCATTGAATGTTCGGGGTTATATTTCTAAGTCAAACTCTGTCTGGTATCAGTCTCATTGGTGTGACAGAGGTATTAAGATGAATATAGTGAGGGCTGAATTTCAAATAGAATTGTAAAGCAGCTAGATGATCCTAAGTTTGTCAGAGTCAATGCAAATGTGGAGCCTCAATCTAAGCTCACTTACAGCTTGACCCATATGATCTCGTCCTAAATTACAGACTTTGAATTGTTTTAACCTCCTGTACCCCAGACAATATACAACACTATCTTCTTGACCTAGTATCTCTTTCTAAATTACAAACTTGAATTCATGAGTTTCTCCCCTCCTCTCGACCAGACAATGTGGTACTGAAATGAGAATCAATTCAAGTCATGACTGTAATCAGTTTTGTGTGCGGTATTGATGGACGGCCCGCCAAATGTTGATGACTGCAAGGTGTCAGTTTTCACCTCATCATCTATATGGAAATGAATTCATTTGCACTTCAGATTGCATCACCATTAACTAAAGGATGAAATTCAAACCTCTTCCTGTTTTTTTCTTCAAAAATAATTGGGTCATCTTTATATTTCTATGTATGAGGTTGTGTTGTCACTCAACTTTGAAGTAAATCAGGAGATGAGAGGGAAGACCCAATCTCTCTGGGGTGATATTTGGCCACATTTAAAGTGGTAAAAATGAAGTGGAAAGATATATGCATCATTGACTTTTTAGCATCATACATAAATATTCCATTGTCTTGTCTGACTTATTCTCTTTATTCCCTTTGAGAATTTATACCTACATGATTAAGAATTTTTTTTTTTTTTCCATTGTTAAGAAACTGGTATCTAGAAACTAGTTCTAGTCATGGATGTTTATATAATAAATTTTGATCAGTGAATTGAATCTCTTTTCTTTTCGTTTGTTGGAGGAAAATTAAGTTTGATTAATAATCATAGATTTTGATGGCAAGATTGGTTTTGAAGAGGAAAAAAATAAGACTAGGATTCTTAGAAGGCATTTTTTTCTCAGTAAACAGTTTAAATATTAGGAAAAAAATAGGGCATGAGAAGAATATTTTCGCAAAACACATAAAAAAGCCTCGTTCAGAGAATAGATGACTCTAAAAAGTGTGAGATCATTTTTTGATCACTCTGGTCAAAGAGGGTCGATGATGATGGGTTCAATTGGTCACCTGAGCTCGCCACCCCTGCCCTAGCTGCTTGACTGACCATGGCCAAAATTAATCACCAGGTGTCATCAACTGATCGAGTATCGGATCCAGCGAGAGCGGGGGCTTCCTTTGAGGAAAATTAGCCCGGCTTTGTGCACTTCATGGGCAGTCTGCCATTAAACCCCACAGGGGACTGATGGATACCAATGTGAATAGGGATTATGGATTGGATGCTTTAGATGTCCAGTCTGCTAGAATTTGTTTACTTCTTATTTTTGTTAGACCAACCAAGTTCACATAGTACATTCTTGCCTTTTGAATAACTTAATTCCTTACTGACTTGCTAACTTACTAAGTGACATAAAGAAATATATAGGCGAATAAAAAGTAATGAATAAATTAATAAAATTAATAAAAAATTAGATAAATAGATAAATACATGAACAAGACAAAGAATAAAGAAATGAATATGAATACATGAATGAATAAATAAATAAATAAATAAACAAATGAAAGAATGCATAAGAAAATGAATAAACAAATAAAAAATTATAGATAAACAGATACATGTATGATAAATGAATGAATGAATAAATGAATGAAGAAATAAATCAATAAATAAATGGATAAGAGAATAAAGAAAGGATTTTTAAATCATTATTTTTTGTGTGAAAGTTATTCAAATTTTTGTTTTGAGAATCTTACCAAATCATCATTTTGAAGGGTATAAATGAGTGTTGGAATAAAGTTAACCATTTTCAAGCTTGATTTTCCCCTTTTAGTGATATAGACCTATTTTCACCCTCTTTAGAATGATTTAACAGCATCATGCCATGCAATTACACCAATGGAAATATTTTCTCTATCAATAGCTTTCCCTATCTCTTATTATGCCAGTTGTCACCTGTTTAGACCCTAATGTAGTATATCGCATCACATGACCCTTCGGCCTGCGGGGGGCGCCCTTCACTCACAGTGTACAATGTTCCTAGAGTTAATGCCTAGGTCTTGCTCCTACTAAATCAGGCTAAGTAGACCCTAATCAGATAAATTAATTAGACCTATGTCAGTAAGAATGTTCCACCCTATGGACGCTGTTCGATGTGGTAGATAGGAAAGCTCAAGGCACTTTATTCAATCAGTCAGCCCAAGATGGGGGAGAAGGTGTGTTAATTCATTGGTTTGGAAAAGAGAATAGGTTTTGTTTGACCAATTCAAAAGGACCTCTTTCATAGGGCATAGTATTTCACCTTTATGAAGAAAACTGAAATAAAATGTGAATTGCTACCTCCCTTTTTGCCCAGAAAAAGATCACAACAATATTGAAGTTATGGGAAATATTTTAAATGCTTTATTTCCCATCACTTCTGCCAATTGTTTATTACTGACAAGATTTTGTGAGTGAAAAGATTTTGGAAAATTTTGAAGACGAATAGAGATTTCGGGAAAGAGAAAGCTCTAAAAATACTATTAGGATTTGCAGCATTTACAGAATTTTTTGTGTGTAATTGAAAGTAGTTCATATTCACTCATCCTTTGGGTCACTTTGTGAAATGTAGTGGCATGAAAAGACGCGTCTGAAATGCAATGTGTAATTTATCACACAGTGGTATACAACCACATTGTTAGGATAGGGAGCAGGTAAATATATATAAATTCTTGATTTGGCTTAATGTTACATAAACTTTCACTCAGAAATGTCAAAAAAGAACTGTTAACATATACATCAGTAACTATATATTATGCCTTTTGCGTTCCATTTCTCTAAGCTACCTCAGGGGATAAATTGTTGTTTCAAAAAAAGCATTTTCTCTCCACAATCAAAAGATTACAGAAGTGTAACAATCAAATGGAAAGCTTTATGGTGCATCTTGCTTGAATACATGGCAGCATGATGATACTTCAAAAACACCGCTTAATTTCTTCAGGGTTATTAATTTTGTCTGCTGTCTCCAAGGAAATCATGAACTCTGTTCTGGCCCCTCTTTCTTTTGACTGCATCGCCCACTTCTGTCTGAGCACATGCAGTGTTTCAGTGTTTCTGCCTGAATGATATACAAGTTGAGCTGATCATGCCTTAGCAGCCAAGACTGCAACCCATTTTCATGTGTGAAAGTCTTGGTCAATTACAGCAGTTGTGCAAACATTCGGGTGTGAGCATTCTAGTCAATGAAGTCTACTCCTTTTAATGCCTCAATGTTCAGCAGTTCTCGTAACTCTTTGTCTGTAGGCTGATCGTCCCTGATTCTGTTCTTAAATGGCATGTTCAGGTAATTGTTGGCATTTCAGCCCTTTGGATAATCGTCCTACACTTGCTTTCATTGGGGAATGTTTTCTTACTTATTACCCCTTCATTGTGGAAAGCACAGTGGCATTCTCCCAGAACCATTCCTGTAATCACAAACTTTAGCAATGGTTACTATAATGACTCTCGCCTACAGCAATCACTGATCCATTGATGAAATGTCTTTATGTAACTCTGCAGATCTGGTGTAAAAATATGCTCATCCTATAGGAATGTTAGATATGTGGGGTTTCTTAACCCTTATACTTATAGTGCTAC